AAAATCCCCCTTTTTTTTAATAAAACCCTGCAACTCGGAAACGTAAAATCTAAAATTTATAAAAATCGAAAGGGAGCTCATGTCAATAGATATAAACAATTCACCACAATTTTTTTGCAAGTTGGTGAAAGTATTCTTGAGTTATTGTCCGAAATTTGGAAAATCCCCCTTTTTTTAATGAATAAAACCCCATAACTCTGAAACATAAAATCTAAAATTTATAAAAAACGAAAGGGAGCTCACGTCAATAGATATAAACAATTCACCAAAGTTTTATGCAAATTGGTTAAAGCATTTTTGAGTTAATGTCCGACATGTTGACGACGGACGGACAGACAGACAGACAGACGGACGGACGGACAGACGGACAGAGGTATACCATAATACGTCCCGTAAACGGGGGTATAAAAACTATAAATTGTAGAATGACGCTTTCAAATACACTAAAAACACTGATAACAGAATTTGATTACTCAAACAAATATTCAGCTTGTAAATACAAGCTTAAGTCATCTGTCCAACACTTTCCTTAGAAATAATTCATTTATTGAGAGAATTTAATGGCATACATGGGCAGTTTTGCAACATTTAAAACAATTCTGTTGAAATTAACATGTCTGCAAAACAAGATAATTATACTGTATTGACTGTTAAAAATCAATTTATAAATGGGTTTAACAGTTATTCAAAGGGGCATGGTAAAAAGAAATTATTACCAGGTGGAGAGATAAAATGCAATGAAAGGCATTTTTTAAAATTATTTTTGCATATTTTAGGGATGCCATTCATGATTTTTTTCAAGATCAGGTACCGGTATATATCTAGAAATCTTTACCACCCATAAAGTGCAGGTAAATATCTAGAATTCTTTACCACCCATAAAGTGCAGGTATATATCTAGAATTCTTTACCATACTAAAATATTTAATTTTAAAGCCATAAAATGCTTGTACATTGGAAATTCCAAAAAACCTAAAAAAAAAAAAAAGAAGTTCTATTTTTTACATATACTGAGATTTAATAAGAAAACAGAAAAATGATGAAAAAAATATATATACATCAGAGACTACTGCTCTTCTTCCTTGATAAAAAAAAAATTGCACCAAAAAAAATCTATAAAATTTGCTTTAATATGTGTTTTCTAGAAAGGTGTGTGGGGACTGGGAGCACTTTTTAATAACCCACATTATAATTTTCAAATATCTACAGGATTCTTAAAGGGGCATTAGCTACGAGATATGAAAAAAATTAGAATATGATTTAGTTTGGTTCAATCAGTAATAAAAGTAAAATAATGAAATAATAATTCGCTTTTAGCAGCCAATTTGGTTCAATTTTGTCAAAATAAGCTAAGAAACATCACTGATGAATTATTCACTTGCAACCAATTAGCTAGAGTAGAGATTGGTTACGCATGAATTAGGCGTGTTCAGTTATTAAAAGGAAAAGAATGTCAACATTGAAAGTAAAACAAGGGTAAACCATTTGATTGACTGATTAGATCCACAAAAACTCATTCTTATACAGGTAAAAACGATAATTAACTTATTTTTTTAACCTATAACATGAAATCAAACAGACCTAGAAAAATCCAATTGCACGAGGTCGCTATCTATTTATATTTATGTTTATGTTAATATCGTGTTATGTGACTGTCGGCAGTCTTCAGAGGTCATCTCGATAGTTAATTAGATAGCGTCGACTAAAATACACATGAAATTCTAATAAATATTACTGAGTACATGCATTGTTTACTGTTTATTCAGACTTATTGTAATTTGGATATGTTTAGTATGTTCAAATTCAAATATGAGAATTTGAGTCAATTTGTGATCGGTGAACATGATTTCGACAGCTAATGCCCCTTTAAAACAGCTGACAATAAGGATCAAACCCCATAAAATTTCAATTTAAGTGTTTCCAAATCTCTGTTTCCACAGAGACAATAATGGAACAGCACTAAGAATAACTTGTACTCTCAGGGTTTCAAATGTTCTATATTTGAAATTATATAAAGAGTGTTAAGCGGAGTATCATTTCTAAAAAAAAAATTATCTTACTCTTATGTAGAAGATAAATAACTTTAAATTAATCATTTTTTATGGAATCATTGATTTATAATGAAATCACAAGATTTTCTAATTAATTTTATAAGATATTCAAATACTTCATACTAACCACTGCTGACATAATTTAATTAGCAAAATTTGTCATTCAAGTAAAGTCTTCTGACAACTTGTTTCTATAAGCACAAGTTTATCCTTGAAGTTTAGTTTCCTATTTACCTACATACTTTAAAATAAACAATATACTGATGGACAATTTTCTATAACCCATGATGTGAATCAGTTTTGGAAATTGTGTCCTAAAGTATTGTTAAACACAAGAGAGAATATTTGTGGTACAAAGAATTCACTGATACATATGAAAGAACTTTCACTTCCTTCCATGCTATTTTCATATTTCATGATTATAAATCAAACGGTCACATATAGTTATTTGGTGTATTTTATGAAAAGCAGATGAAAAATACATGTTTAATATGAAAACAGACCTTAACTATATGTATGTAAGACAACATTATATCATTGTACATAACTTAGTTGGTTTACTTCATTTGCTTCTCAAAACTGGATGATAGTCCTAGTTTAAAAGTATTTAAATTTATTATTTGGTATTAATAAAACAAGCCAGATGCTAAGAACCTTAAAAACTTTTCATCGCAAAAAAATCATACATTAAAAACAAATAGGACATGCAGTTGTGTACATATTTCTAACTGACAACTTAGACGTATGTCAAAGGTGATCCATTAAATATATATAGTACCCAGGAATGGATCATTTGGAAATGGGGTAACCTACTAAGGCTATAGGTACCAAATTTAAAATTTAACCTACATTTTCACTGTGCACAAAGTATTTAACACCCATTCAAAGTTGTCTATTCACATTGCCATCAATGGTCCAAAGGTTGTTTTTATGGAACCACTCATATATAAAAAACATAACTTGCAACATAAAAAAATTCATAGGCAGGCAAACATTTCATTGTACACACACTGTATAAATGACTAGATCACAATATAATAAAATCAGGCAAGTAAAGACTTCCATCTGCTTACCATCATTTTATTCTTACATACACATATTCATTACCTTCTTACATACAACAAGATTGTGTACATACATGCATCGCTTAAGATAGCATACATGTAGGAATATAAATAATAAAAGAATGATTTGTTTTATGTTTTGCCAAAAAAAAGTTTATATTGGGATTTTATAAATATAATAAATGTGGACACAGATGATGACCCCGCTTGCATATCATATAGTTATAAAGGGACATAACTGAAGAACGGTAAAAGTGACGCTACCCAAATTTGAACTTGATCTGAGTTTTGTTGTAATAAGCATTGTATGAAAGTCTCATAACATTTGGTTGAGGCTAACTTAAGTAGAGAACAGAAACTAAAAATTCAGCAATTTTTCTATTTGTAAACACACATAACTCTAAAACGGTTGTGTATAAGTTAAGTAACATTTGGTTGAGACAAACTCAAGTTAGAGAACGGAAACGAAAAATTCAGCAATTTTTATGTTTATAAAGGGACATAACTCAAGAATGGTAAAAATGTCGCCACCAAATTTCGTACTTAATCTGTATTATGTAGTAATAAGCATTGTGTATAATTTTCATAACATTTGGTTGAGGCAAACTAAAGTTAGAAAACAGAAACAAAAAGTTTGTACTTGATCTCAGTTTTGTGGTAATGCATATTGTGTATAGGTTTCATAATGTTTGGTTGGGGCAAACTTAAGTTACAGAATGGAAACTAAAAATTTTGCAATCTTTCCATTTATAAAGGGGCATAACTCAATAATGGTTAAAGTGACACTACCCTAATTCAACCTGATCTGTGTTTTATCAGTGGAAGTCAAAATTAAACATTGCATTGTATAAAGCACTGATTGTAGTTGATTCAACTATAATCATGGACAAAAGAAGATAACTCCAATTTTAAAAATTACTTTGATATTTAGTAGAAAATAAAAATTTTGTTTTTTTTCAATTTATAAAGGGGCATAATTCTAGAACGGTTAAAGCGACGCCACCAAAATTCAAACTTGATCTGTGTTTTGTGGTAATTAGCATTGTGTATAAGTTTCATAACATTTGGTTGAGGCAAACTTAAGTTAGAGAACAGAAACTAAAAGTTTTGCAATTTTTCCATTTATAAAGGGGCATTACTCTAGAATGGTTAAAGTGACGCCACCAAAATTCAAACTTGATCTGTGTTTTGTGGTAATAAGCATTGTGTATAAGTTTCATAACATTTGGTTGAGGCAAACTCAAGTTAGGGAGGAAACCAATTTTACGGACAGATGTACTTACGTACTGACGGACAAGGGTAAAACTTAATGCCCCCTCCGCTATGGCGGGGGCATAAAAATATCATAAGTATAAGTCACCATGCTCGTTTACAAAGGGCTAGGCAAAAATCTCATATTTTAATGAATTATAAACTGAAAAAGGCATTATTATGCGATTAGAGAAAAACTAAATAAAAGAATTTTGAAATAAGATAGCTTGTTTTCTTGATACATATATAATGTAAATAGATAAAAGCTACATTATGTACATGAATTCATTTAAAAAACTTTAAAAATTTTTAGCAATACCTCCTATAAACATGATCAAGAAAAACTGAATAAAAACACAAAAATTTTACCATCCTCATTCCTGATGCCTCCTTTATATTCTTTTAACTAGGGAATTTACCTACTGTAAATTCAGAAATTATTGCGTGCATTTATTATTGCGATTTTGTCATTTTAGACTAAAATGCGATTCTATTTTTTGCGATATTGAGAAAAATCCTGTTTAATTCATATAAAATATTTCAAAATGCGAGTTTATATTATTGCGATTATAACCCTGTCGCATTTTTCGCAATAATAAAAACATCGCAATAATTTCTGAATTTACAGTATCAACTTCATGTTGTATTCTTTATCCTGTTTAAGTTAACTTTCAGGACAAGTATCTAGGGAATTTACCTATCAACCCATGTTGTATTCTTTATCCTGTTTAAGTTGACTTTCAGGACAAGTATCTACATGATCTAGGGAATTTACCTATCAACCCCATGTTGTATTCTTTATCCTGTTTAAGTTAACTTTCAAGACAAGTATCTAGGGAATTTACCTATCAACCCCATGTTGTATTCTTTATCCTGTTTAAGTTAACTTTCAAAACAAGTATCTAGAGAATTTACCTATCAACCCACATGTTGTATTCTTTGTCCTGTTTAAGTTAACTTTCAGGACAAGTATCTAGGGAATTTACCTATCAACCCATGTTGTATTCTTTATCCTGTTTAAGTTAACTTTCAGGACAAGTATCTAGGAAATTTACCTATCAACCCATGTTGTATTCTTTATCCTGTTTAAGTTAACTTTCAGGACAAGTATCTAGGGAATTTACCTATCAACCCATGTTGTATTCTTTATCCTGTTTAAGTTAACTTTCAAGACAAGTATCTAGAGAATTTACCTATCAACCCACATGTTGTATTCTTTGTCCTGTTTAAGTTAACTTTCAGGACAAGTATCTAGAGAATTCACCTATCAACCCCATGTTGTATTCTTTGTCCTGTTTAAGTTAATTTTCAGGACAAGTATCTAGAGAATTCCCCTATCAACCCCATGTTGTATTCTTTATCCTGTTTAACATGTTTAAGATAACTTTCAGGACAAGTATCTAGGGAATTTACCTATCTACCCCATGTTGTATTCTTTATCATGTTTGAGTTAACTTTCAGGACAAGTAACTAGAAATTTACCTGTCAATCCCATGTTGAGACATTGTCTACTTCTTAATTCTGTACTAAAGAGGTTCTGAAAAAGTCTGTTAATACTTTAAATAAAGTATTGTAAAGATTGAAGAATTTAGCACCAAATGGCATAAAATCTTACCTTCTTATTTAGTGAAATATAAAACTTTGGTCTATAGATCTTTATAAAAATAAAAAAGAATTGCTCATATGGATACCTTCCTTTCCTATCAAACATCTGGAATAATAACCATGTTTCATAAAAATAAGCACTAAAATATGCTCATAGAAATCTATCTATAACTGATATGAATTTTCATCTAATGTAAATAATTCTATTAATGAACTGCTGCTTATAATTCAATAAGAACACATAATGGCATTTCATAGGTCATACAAAAGTATTAAGATAGTATACATAGCTATATATAGTACACAAAATGTTTCTGGCAATTCTCAAATCAAACTTTCACAGTGTTTCTCCACAATCATGTGACAGAATATCAATTTCTAACAGATGATATACATAATCAATTATCAATTTTTTTCCCTCTCACTCAGGAATTTCTTCCATTATTTCATCTTTTCAAAAAATAACACTTTAAGTCGTTCTGCTAACAATTTGAAGAATTTCCTAGTTTGGATTTTTTCTTGGGGAGGATCGTATAACCTGAGTCACCTCTTTTCTAATTTTAATAAGAGGTAAATGTTGCCTTGGTGTACTGACAGAATCTTTTACTTCTGGAGCTACAACTTTTCTTCCAACCCCGATCTTGTCTTCTGTAAAAATATAGAAAACAATAGAATAGTTTATTGGGGTAAACAAAAAAAATCCACAATAAAACTGTTTTTCCGTTGTATACAAAAAATACTAAAACTTGATAAGAAATAATGAGAAAAGCAAATAATTACCTTATTTCAATGTGCTCATGCTTCCTGGATTTATATAGATTCTACCTACCACCTGGTAGGATAAAGATATCTATCCATAATTTGTGAACTTCTTAACTTTAACAAAATTGAATACAAGGTTTACCATGTTTACAGAGCATTTAATACTTCGTTTTGTATTTTAAATTTAACTACTGTAAACATGGATATTTTTTAGGGTTGTTATTTACATGATTTCAATGCACAAATAACCAGAATGTGTCCATAGTACACGGCTGCCCCACTCGCACTATCATTTTCTATGTTCAGTGGACCCTGATATTGGTGTCAAAACTCTAATTTGGCATTAAAATTAGAAAGATCATATCATAGGGAACATGTGTACTAAGTTTCAAGTTGATTGGACTTCAACTTCATCAAAAACTACCTTGACCAAAAACTTTAACCTGAAGCGGGATAGATGGCCGCACAGCCCGAAAAACAAAATGCCCCTAAGTGGGGCGTAAAAACTGACAGCCAAGAAATAGCCAACAGTACTAAAAGTTGCGTTAACACCAAATCAATCAATCAATCAATTAATCTCTAACAATACCTCAATACATAAAAGGTCATATATCATACCTTTGTAAGGAATATTAGTTACTATGGCACAAGATACAGGTGTTTCCTTCGGATCATATGCTAACAGTATGTTCAACTCTTGTTCTTCTACAACAATAGAACTAATAATGTCATCCATCGTCGGTGTTGTTTGATCAATATCTATAATGCCAATGATCCTAAGGTTTTCATTTTCAACAGTCTGCCATATGAATTGTCCAAGCACCTTCTTGCAAAAAGGGGAATAATTCAGTATATTTTTATCCACTGGAAGAACACAAAGAACTTGTTTTTCTGTATCTTCGTCCTTGCAGGATTTTTCCAAATCCGTTGCTATTGAATTTACATTTGATCTCTCATCTGAGACCTGGAATATACTGTCTGATGGCATTACTTTTAAAGAAAAATTGCGCTGAAATTCCTGCTTAACAAAATTTACAATTTTGGATCTTTCCTCATCCAGCTGTAGTTTCGAAGGCAATTTATTCAATACATTAAACTTGGTTGATTGTTTACATTCGAAAAGTCTATCCGTATGCTCTGGCAACATTTTCATTCTAATTAATCCTCTTGGATCAAGTTTATCATTCACTATCAAGAGAAGGGCATTCATATTCTGAACCGTTAACAATTTGCCAATTGTACAACCACATTTTTTGGATGCATTAGTTAAATTTATCCTGAGTTGTTTAAATACATTATCTTGCATGCTCTTGACCATGGATTTATCCATAGATTTATATAGACTGAGAACATAACTGTAATGAGGAAGCTGGCTATGGAGTTTGTCTTCACTAGTCAGAAGCTTAGCAATCTTGCTCTGGTCATCTCCTTCATTGCTACAATATAAAAACATATGCTACTTTATGTTTGGCTTTTTCTGCTCTTTTCATTAAGGATTGATGTTTTAACAAGTTCTGTGGCAATCAAAGTTGAACTATGATTGTTCTGGTTAATCCCAAGTACCTTTTTGGATAAATATAAAAATGCATTCATAATTATTTTTCCTTGTTAACTGTTATCTTGATGTTGAACAGGAGGTTAATGCATAAAATAGCTTTGGAAGCATAATCAGTACATGATACAATAAGAACACAAACTTTCTTTAAATCCTCATTGAGATACTACATGTACATGTAATATTATGATAAAAAAGCAATTTCAAAAAGTAAAAACAAATTTCAGTTTTCTCTTGCTTAACTTGCCTTAAGAAGTTTAAGCTACAATAGAAGCTATTAAAAAAAAAATTTAAATGGAATTTGTTTTCAACATGAGAGGATATTGTTTCATTTCAGATCAACAAAAAATAGATCTACATACTGTAAGGTCAACATTGTTTAAACAAGAATGTGTCCATAGTACATGGATGCCCCACCTGCACTATCATTTTCTATGTTCAGTGGACCGTGAAATTGGGGTCAAAACTCTGATTTGGCATTAAAATTAGAAAGATCATATCATAGGAAACATGTGTACTAAGTTTCAAGTTGATTGGACTTCAACTTCATCAAAAACTACCTTGACCTAAAACTTTAACCTGAAGCGGGACAGATGGACGAACGGATGGACAAACGAACGGAAGCACAGACCGAAAAACAAAATGCCCCTCTACTATCGTAGGTGGGGCAGAAAAAAAACTTTTGAGTTACAGACCTTGAAGACATTGACCCATTTGCACATAACTTGTATATTTAAGAAGTCATCAATCTGGTTAGACCATAAATATAAGTTATGAATTGAAACCTGACAAAAGGACATTGTATCCATCATTGATCAAAGCTCTGTGTGTATTCACCAGCATTGATCTAAAAAAAAACTTGATCCGTTCCCATCACTTATGAAGGATCGGTAGTTGGCCTTGGATTAATTTTGCTATTATTTTTAGGTTCTTTTTGGTCATAAAGCTTTTCAACTGTTTCGGTTCTTATACATTCTTAGCTTTTAGATGTTCTGCTTTCAGCATTCCTGATGAAGGTAAATCCAGAGAACCCATTCAGATGCATGAAATTTATAGTGTTTTCAATTTTTTTAACACTCCATTAACAAACAAAATTCGGATTACAATAAAAAATTATATCTGTGATGAGTCCCTAGTACATCAATTAAGTGCCAGTCTTTAAGAATCAGGCAATTTTGAAAAAATCAAAATATGGCCGGAAAAAAAAACCACCGAACTAAACATCCTATTTTGAAGTTATTCGAAAAAACCTCTAGATAACTTTTGGTTAGAATGATAGCAAATTACAGATTTAGCTCCCCTTAATTATTAATTTCTAGTGCATTTCAAGCATATTATATCTTGAATTAACAGAACAGGTAAAGGAAACAAATATTATATATTTGTACACCATTAAACATTTTGAACATAAATTAATGTCAACTTGAGCGGGTTTTTGTTTGTCATGTTTTCACCACTGCCTAATTCTTAGGCAGATTGGCACTATTAAGTATGTACATTACTTTCCAGGTGAATCCCACCACCAGTGTCAGATCATGATGATAGACATTTTCAAAGGACATGTACATGTATGATGTAAAACAAACAAATACATTTAATGCATGTTCATTAGCCCTTTATAAAAAATCTTTAAATCCATTAATTCAAATCTTACCATAATATCTGACCAATGTCATTCATCAGATGAGGCATTATTTCCTTCTGAAGGTGTTCTAACTTGAAAGCATCTAACCAGAAAGCTAGCTTGTCTTCCTTTATATTTAACTCATGCACTGCTTGTTTCATCAGTTCTACTCTCTGTGTGTCACTACATTCCAAATCCTGAGTCAAAATCAATCCACAAGCTAAAAGAAAATAACAAGGCATTATAATACATTGCTGTTAGGTGTGAGCCAAGGCTCCGTGTTGAAGACCGTACTTTGACCTATAATGGTTTACTTTTATAAATTTTGACTTGGAATCGTTGGATGGAGAGTTGTCTCATTGGCACTCATACCACATCTTCTTATATCTATTATAAAAAATATAAATATTCATGGTTATCTAAAAGTAGAATTAAAAACTAAGGGAGACTTGTTTTTGGTTTCTAAAAAGAAATGAGTTAAGCACTCATATTTTTCAACTTTTTATATTAGTAAACATGGTAAAGGTATGCATTCAAGCCAATCAATGTTACCAAAAAAAGTCCATGGGCAAGTAATTTTCGTACAACAAATGGAAATGAGACAGCGAAGTGAAAGACAGGGTACATTGTAGCTTGTCACCTAAGTCACTAACTAGCATGAGCCCTGTAAAGTAAAACTAGTCACAGCTGGCATAAACAAGAAGAAAATTTCCCTCCATAAGAAGGAGGTAAATATAATACATTTAATATGGTCAGTTTTGATGACATGTTGACATTATGAGCATGATGAAATTGACATATCCAACCTAAAATGTCTATTTCACACATATGTAGCAAAATATGAACCAAGTTATGTTCAACCTTTTTAAATACTAAAGTCAACACTTACTGGGATATATGTTTTGATCTGTTTCTGATTCTGTACTAGAAGCACCATTCCCAAGGTCTAAATATTTCCCAGTTGGTACAGATTTCTGCTTTTCAACCGTACTTTTATCGTTTATCTTCTCATCAGTTTCACTCTTCTTAGAGTTTTCTCCATCATTTCGAACATTTTTCAATGATAAACTACTTGTATTCACAACCTTTTGCTTCTGAATGGAAGATGTGTCTTTCTTGGGTGTCATCTTCTCTATTGTGGCTGGATCTAATCTGTCCAGTTGAACTGTCAAATTTCTGACAACAGATGTAGATGGTTGAGGGCTTGTTTCCCCATCTTCTACATCAATAATGTTTACCTCTAGCTTGTCTGAAGTTTCCTGTTGAACTTTTAAGACAATTTGAGTGTCTAAGAAGGAGTCTTTTGATTCAGTGTCATTAGGTGAGTCATCATAAAGTTCTGTTTTGTTTGTCTTCTGTTTTATTTTTTTTTTCCTACTTTTCATTTCCTTCTCAGAAAGAAAATCTTCCGATTCGTCACTGCTGATGCAAGGCCTTTTCAACGGTGTTTTCCTTTTATGCACTATAGAATCATCACTGCCTGAATGTTTTCTTTTATTCCTTTGATTGCTTTGTGGTAGTTGGTTGCTATTGTTGTAAGATACATTTTTTGCACATCTACGGGATGAACGAGGACGTTCTTCAGGTGCTTCTCTAATTTCATCATCAGAAGAGTTTTCATACAGGTCTTTCAAAAAGGAAGCCCTTGGCAAAGATTTTTTATTCAGATTTGGTGTTGCTTTCTTTGAATTGCTTCCTACTGCTACTGCGTTTATTTCTGCCTCAACTCTTAGTTTATTTGGGGTAAGATCAGGACTGTCAACTTCAGGAACAATTTTATGTCTTTTGGCACCTTTAACCTTATTTGGTTTACTGATTTCATCGTCATCATTTTCCAATATAAGGTGTAAGTTAGATATTTCTTCAGATTTGTCATCCTCATCATCATCATCGTCGTCCGTGAACATTGAATTTGAACATTTACTGGAAGATATACCATTACTACTTGCTGGTTTTGATAGTGAAGGACTTGGTTGAGTTAAAATGGAAACATCCATAAAATGTTTATCTTTGTGTTGTGCTACAGCATTATTATTCTGCTGTGTATCAGATTCAATATCTTCTTCCTGGTCTTCATCAATATCTTCCTCTTCTTCTGAAGATGAGTTAATGCCAGATTTACTCTGTTCATCTTCATTGGCCTCCTCTTCTTCAGAAGATGAGTCCATATTTGAACTGAATGGTAAGAAAAGTTCAGCTACAATAAAAAAAAAATGGAATTATCTTCTTCTCTTCATTGTGGCATTCTACATCTATTCATTTCCTAATACACAATTCATTGTCCATATTTTGGTGGTATTTTTATACTTCTAATGTAATTTTATTTGACATTTAACGAAACATGTTTTACAATTGGATAAGTTTTTCATTCTATAAAAAAATATAATACACAAAAAAATTCGTAAGGGTTCCGTGGAACCCAGAGTCTTGCCTACTTTTGCTGTTGTCATGTTTTCAGTGCAGTTTAAAAAAAGTTATTAAAATTTAAAAAACTTTAACCATGTGTTAACCACAGAGTGAATATTTGTGGACACCACCGTCAACGACAACGGAATGTAGGATCGCTATGTCTCGCTTTTGCCACAAAAGTCGCAGGCTCAACAAAAATGGGGAAAAAATCATTAAAAATTTCCTCTGGATACTATCTTTTGATTGTAAGAAGCTTCTGTCCATGTTTGGTAAAAATCCAGGATGGTTTATGAATCTAATAAATGTTTTAATAAATTGCTTCGCTGAGCGCAGCTGGATACGACCACAGAGGTCCAACCCTGAACAGTTGGGGCAAAAATGGACACAATATTCGTGCTTGATACAGGTCTGAATTTGGATTGTAATTAAATATTTGACACAGAATAACTGTAGTCAAAGAACTAAGAATTGGTGATATAATTTGAATTTATATTCAATTTTTTTATTTTGTGCAATACACTATGCTGTTGCCAATTGACTCCCCCCCCCCCCCCCTTCCCCAACCGCCTTTTTTCAAAAAAAAAAAAATATTTGAAGAAATTTTCTTTTTAATTTCTGAAATCTGAAATGAGAAAAAATTGTTCCCCCCCTCACAATTTCTTGTTTACAACCACAACCTCCCCAAATTTATTTTTCACTTTTTTTTTTTTTAATTGTCCATTAACCAGGAAACCCTTGTTTTTCCCCCTTTTTTGCCCTTAATTCCTAAATGGTTTGAGCCATTACCCCCCACAGCCAATCCTAACCACCCCTTTGTGGTATGGAAACTTGTGGTATAATTTCAGAGAGATCCATACACCGTTCCATAAGTTATTGTCTGGAAACTAGAAAAATGCTTATTTGGGCCCCTTTTTGGCCCCTAATTCCTAAACTGTTAGGACTATAGCCCCAAAATCAATCCCAACCTTCCTTTTGTGGTTATAAACCTTGTGATTAAATTTCATAGATTTCTATTTGCATTTACTAAAATTATTGTCCAGAAACCAAATGTCTTCGTTGATCACGACGACGTGATACCAATATACGACCGCAAAATTTTTTGCGGTCGTATAAAAACTTTAACTACAGACTGTATGTAATGTTAACTGGAAGAAAAACTAAGTCCATTTATAAGTAATATATGGAAAAACAGGAAATAAATTTTTACAAAATTTCCTTCTAGATACTAGCTTTTGATCATAAACAAGCTTCTGTCCAAGTTTGGTACAAACCCAGGATAGTTTAAGAAAGTTATTAAAATTTTAAAAACTTTACATGCTTTAACCACAGAGTGAATGTAATGTTAACTGGCAGAAAAACTAAGTCCATTTTTACAAAATTTACTTCTGGTTACTATCTTATGATCATAAACAAGCTTCTGTCCAAGTTTGGTAGGAATCCAGGATAGTTTAAGAAAGTTATTAAATGGCTATGTCTCGCTTTTGCGACCACAGAGTGAATGTAATGTTAAGTGGCAGAAAAACTAAGTCCATTTATAAGTAAAATATGGATAAACAGGATTTTTTTTTTACAAAATTTACTTCTGGATACTATCTGATGATCATAAACAAGCTTCTGTCCAAGTTTGGTAGAAATCAAGGATAGTTTAAGAAAGTTATTAAAATTTCAAAAACTTTAACCACAGAGTGAATATTTGTGGACGTCACCGACGATAGAATGTAGGATGGCTATGTCTCGCTTTTGCGACAAAAGTCACAGGCTCGACAAAAAGGCAAAACACAAAGCTTTGTCATTAAATTCTTATCAAGGTCATAAAGGTTCCAAAAATAAACGTATATACTGAAAATTATGTGTTTAAGGTGTCAAATTTAGGATCAAAAGGTCAGGATTGATATGTTGGTAGAATTCATTTAAGAAGAATTCCTCATAAAACAGTATAATTTGGGTTGGTGAAGAAACCCTAAAAACAAATTTTTTTGAAAAGACCTCAACCAATGCAGTCCAGAATTCAAAACTAGATGAGACTTTTCACACATTGTTTCATATTTTTCATGTGGGGGCCTTCTATAGCCGACTATATGGAATGGGTTTTTCTCATTGTTGAAGGCAGTTCAGTTGCCTTTAATTGCGTACATTCACTTCATTTGAACTTTGTGGATAGTTGTTTCATTGGCAATCATACCTCATCTCCTTATTTTTATATATGAGTTTATTTGCCTCATCTAATATAATTATAAATTATAATATAATAGGAATTCAAAATCTTTGTTCTTTATAGGATTATGCTGACTACTTATACATGTTATAAACTCTTGTCCATTAAATACAAGCAGATTCCAGTTTAAGTTATGCAATGCTATGAAAAGAAATGAGAAATTTGAAATGAAGCATTTAATTTTGATATTTATCAGTTAGTATTGGATTTTTAAATTAAAAATGTATATTAATATAAATTGGGTAAATTAAAAGAGTTTTGAAAAGAAATAGGGGCACCCTTTACAATTCAATAACAAAGATGGCAGAATGTAAATAAACTTCTCATATTCAAGTTATTCGCCTGTTTCTTGCTCATAGTACTCTTATAATCCTAACCTGGCCAGACAATTTTTATTTTGGAGTAAAAGACCACAGACAATACAAGAACGAATTCGGTATCTCAGTTTTGCCTAAAACAACTTTAAATGATGTTAATACAATCCAAGTGGATGTGAGCACTGAAGGGTTAAGCTTGCATTCATTTTTCAGTGGGAACTAAAAGTTAAAGATTGCATTGTAATTTGTATTATGCATTGGAATGCAATACTTTTAATTGGTTCAACTACAATCATTTACAAAGGAAGATAACTGATTTTTAATAAATATTTTTAATAAATTACTTAAACAATGACATCATTGATATTTTTAGAACAGATACTAGATTCATGCACCATGCACAATTTATATAATTTTCTTGACAAGTATGGGTACACACATACACATCATTTGAATATCTGAGTATATATTTCATTGATAGAATTCTTGAAATGTTTATGGATATGATGTATAGAATGCACTAAGTTTTTATCTCAAAAGTAGTGATAATGTCTGGAAAATTGATAACTAGTAAGCCAGCCCATAAGGTTTTGATTGCATGAATGCAATCTTTTTCATGCAATGTTTACTCCAATTACAGAGGTTATATGAAATCTATAATTTAAGACTTTACTTACATTTGTTATTCCTGAAATTAGCTTCATGCTGAGGTGAACAAAAAACTCTGAAAAAAACAACAACATTTAAGGTATAAAAGAAATCAGCAAGGTGTTGATGTATCCACTACCATATCAAATGGAATAAATGTGGATAGTGTCCACATGTGGACACAGATGATGCCCCCACTTGCATATCATATACCGTACTTGACAGAAAATAAAACGCACCCCTAAATAAGGCGCAGGGCCGTTTTTTAGGGGAAGAAGTGTTTTTGTCCTCACATAAAACGCACCTGAATATAAAGCGCACCCTGATGAAAATGTACATGCATTCTTCTGACCTTGGCGTAATGAATGTTCACTCCTTCTTGTAACGCACTCCGTAACATGTTTCATTTTTATTTTCAGATTGTTGAGAAAGTTGAAAGATATTTTGTATATATTTATTTGTTTCATATTAAAATAAATAAATGTTAATAAAATTATTATAATTTTCTTATTGTTTTAACCATGCCAGATTCATTAGTTGTTTTTTATCAACAATGTCCATGTGATGACAGCGAGGGTGTCCATTGAACCTTGTTTTGATTAAAATTAGTTTGGTGTTGATTGCTCATTTATTGTTTGAATTGGAATCAAGGATTTTAATTAATCTTGAAAAGGTATTCATTAAAGGTTACCCAAGCCATAAAACTGCCATTGTTTACCTTGATTATGACCTACTTACCTGTACCCACGTGTGAAAACTGTTCACCCATAAGTCAGGAAAAAATTTATTAAATTAAATCTAAAGAATTTTATTGTTGTTTATAAAATAAAAGTTTAAGTTTTATAAGTAACAAACATTTTTCAATTTAAACTTGGTTGAAAACTACGAACAAAACCATTCAGTTTCTGCAAGTCATTGTCTATTTTTAACTGAAAGTGAGATGGGCCACGGAAAGGGGAATTCAAATAAGACGGCGATATATAAATGTCTTAGCATATTGAATTATGAAAATTAATATTCATTTTTTTTATTTCTTACACCAATATGTGGCTACAATATTTCATAAAGATATTTCATTTTGAAACAATAAAACAACAAGAAATGATTGTAACAGGATGCTGTTACGAAGTCTCCCAAACGTAGCTCCCATAATTCGTAATTCCCAGGGTCGCCTGACATTGGGCAAAGTCCAGTGAAAATTGGTTTGGTCCATTAAAGTTATATGCATTAGTGATGCCTGGGGACTAACCCTGTATATCATTTAAATCATCTTGGCATGACAAACCAGAATATATATGGTTTAGGGGTGGGGATCTCGACCATTTACAAGATATTAGAACTTTCTCAAATGGCAGGGGGTCAGGATGACCCCTGGGGACTAACCCTGTATATCATTCAAACCATCTTAGCATGACAAACCAGAATATATATGGTTTAGGGGTGGGGATCTTGACCACTTACAAGATATTAGAACTTTCTTAAATGGCATGGGGTGGGTTTGACCGCTGGGGACAAACCCTGTATTTCATTTCATGTGCTTTATCATGACAAACCAGAATATATATGGTTTAGGGGTGGGGATCTCGACCATTTACAAGATATTAGAACTTTCTCAAATGGCAGGGGGTCGGGATGACCCCTGAGGACCAAACCTGTATATCATTCAAACCATCTTAGCATGACAAACCAGAATATATATGGTTTAGGGGTGGGGATCTTGACCAATTACAAGATATTAGAACTTTCTTAAATGGCATGAGGTGGGGGTGACCCCTGGGGACTAACCCTGTATTTCATTTGATTTGCTTTATCATGACAAACCAGAATATATATGGTTTAGGGGTGGGGATCTCAACCATTTACAAGATATTAGAACTTTCTCAAATGACAGGGGGTCGGGATGACCCCTGGGGATTAACCCTGTATATTATTCAAACCATCTTAGCATGACAAACCAGAATATATATGGTTGAGGGGTGGGGATCTTGACCACTTACAAGATATTAGAACTTTCTTAAATGGCATGGGGTGTGGGTGACCCCTGGGGAGTAACCCTGTATTTCATTTCATGTGCTTTATCACGACAAACCAGAATATATATGGTTTAGGGCTGGGGATCTCGACCATTTACAAGATATTAGAACTTTCTCAAATGGCAGGGGGTCGGGATGACCCCTGGGGACTAACCCTGTATATCATTCAAATTATCTTAGTATGACAAACCAGAATATATATGGTTTAGGGGTGGGGATCTTGACCACTTACAAGGTATTAGAACTTTCTTAAATGGCAGGGGGTGGGGATGACCCCTGGGGACTAACCCTGTATTTCATTTAATGGGTTTTATCATTTAGAACATTTTCAATTAAAAAGATTGTGTCTATCACAAACGGTTTTCAGTTTATAATCATTTGAAAATTTTAAAAAATAATATCCCATAGGGTTCTATAGTAAAACCCTCTTTTCTTTTTGCCCCTCAAAGTACCCCTTTATAAACCCCATTGCACAAACAAAACCCTGATTGCACCACTAGACATGTTAGTCTAACATATTGTGAAACCCTAAGTTAATCTGACAAGCGGTTTTGGAGAACGGGTGCGGACAAGTTCAAATTTAAAAGCGGCGGAAGAGGAAGAGGAAGAGGAAGAGGAAGAAGAATAATAATAATAATAAGAACTGAGCAAAAACAATAAGTCTTCCCAAACTTCGTTTGGGAGACTTAACAAGCAGTTACTCCTCAATAGTATATCCTGTATGGTACCTCTTTTCAAACACGCTTATCTTTCTTTGTTTATGAAACACTTTAAAGGGTTCATTTCAGCACATGGTTATCACCATCGTCATTAAAAGAGACTTGAAATATTGGAAAGAAACACAATCACTTCCTTTATTATTTCTAAAGGAGATTTTATTTAAAAACACATTACAACAACAAACAATAACATATTTATTGTAAATACACAATTAATATCCTGTATGGTACCTCTTTCAAACACGGTTATCTTTCTTTGTTTATGTAATAAACACATGGTTATCAACTTCGTAAGCCAACAATGAAATAAAGAACAAATGATAAAGTATATATATTTTTATTCATAACAAAATATGCCACATGAACAAATTTATCAAGTCACTGCAAGCACTTGACAATCTGATGGTCTCCATAACAAAAAATCCAGATATATATTTTTTTTCACGCTTGCCCTGAAACTGAAAAAAATACATACATAAAGCGCACCTGAGTATAACACGCAGGGACAATGACAGAGAAAAAAACCTGCGGCTTATTTAACGAATTTAACAGTAGTTATAAAGGAACATAACTCAAGAATGGTAAAAAGTGTCGCAACCAAATTTCGTACTTAATCTGTATTATGTAGTAATAAGCATTGTGTATAAGTTTCATAACATTTGGTTGAGGCAAACTAAAGTTAGAAAACAGAAACAAAAAATTTGTACTTGATCTTAGTTTTGTGGTAATGAATATTGTGTATAGGTTTCATAATGTTTTGTTTGGGCAAACTTAAGTTACAGAATGGAAACTAAAAATTTTGCAATCTTTCGATTTATAAAGGGGCATAACTCAATAATGGTTAAAGTGACACTACCCAAATTCAACTTGATCTGTGTTTTATTAGTGGAAGTCAAAATTAAACATTGCATTGTCTAAAGCATTGATTGTAGTTGATTCAACTACATGTATAATCATGGACAAAAGAAGATAACTCCAAAATAAAAATTACTTGATATTTAGAAGAAAATAAAAATTTTGTAATTTTTCCATTTATAAAGGGGCATAACTCTAGAACGGTTAAAGTGACGCAACCAAAATTCAAACTTGATCTGTATTTTGTGGTAATAAGCATTGTGTATAAGTTTCATAACATTTGGTTGAGGCAAACTTAAGTTACAGAACGGAAACTTGAGGCTTTTTTCAGTCAGGGGAATTACTGAAATGAGTGATTTATAAATCACTCATTTAAGTAGCAAATTAGAAATTCAGTCATTTTGTAGTTTCACCAAAATTTTAAACATATAGGTTTAGATTATATCTAATTATTAGTAAAATTGAAAAAAATGAACCTTTTGCTTTTTTAAGTAGCAAGGTTTATGTAATTGATGCAATCATTCAGCTTTAAATTCTATATTTCTTGAAATTAAAGTGACGCCATAATAATACTTAAAGAAGTGATTTTTTTGGAAGAAAATAGAGGTATGATACTTAAACAAGTGATTTTCATGTCATTATCCCAGATTCAGCACAAAGTCATCACCTGACATGACCGGTCATCCTATAAACACAGATGTTGGTTCTGATAACTTTAGCAACATAATTAGTCTGTGGATCATTAGTATTATATATTTAAAACTACAATAAACTTAAATCACTTAGTCTAGTGATTTATTTGTACTACTTAAATAGTTGATTATTAAAGAAAGACAACTCTTACTTCCAACATTTCTGAACAAAATGTTACTTGAATCAGTGTTTAAGAAATCACTTATTCAAGTAATTCCCCCGACTGTTTTTGGCAGTTTTGTTCTAAATGCAGGAAGTTTGAAACCCGCCAAAAAAATCAAAAATGGAAATACTGATTTTTGACCAACAAATGTCTTGTTTCGTATACTGCTGAAGGATAATAAATTCAATGGTCTTATCATACCTTTGCCTTTCACAAATTTCTTTGTCCATAAATAAAGCTTAATTTGTGTAAATCTATTAAAATTCATGACCAATTGGTACCTAAAAGAACACTCCTAACCTTGTTCATGTTTACTAAAACAGTAATTTTCCATAACAATTTCTATGAAACAAGATAAATCCACTGTACAATGGCCAGTCATTGTACTATTTAGTTTTATGCAGACTGAATGAAAAATCCAACATGAACTTACATTACATCTAGATACTTACCTATACATAACAACCTGTTCATTCTGTTCTTTGTATTTAATCAACATCCGTTTAGTTATAGCAGTGCTACTGCAGTAAGCACAATAATAGTGGAAAGTTTTGTTGCAATTCCTAAGTGCACATCCTGCAGTAGCACCACCTATTGGAAAACCATCTTTGTTCTTCTTCCCTTTTGATGTTTTACATACACTACACCTCTATAAAATATAAAAAAGAAATGACCTTTAAAATAAAGCAAAATCTTATAATTTTTCACTTAATATTCAAATCCAATGATTTACATTATCTGGTGATTCAAATTAATTAATTGCTGTTAACATACACCTTTATGAATGTCAGAAGGTTTGATTTTTCTATGATTTTTCATTGTTTAATGATACATTTATACCAGGGCTTCCAAAAAACATTTGAGCCAGCCGGACATTTTTTTTGTCTCATTCCGATTTTAATCCCTTCAGACTTAGTAACAAAAGGAAACCATAGTAATCATTTGGGCATCATATAAATTATGATTGACACAAAAACGGTATTTGACTTGATTTTTTTATTTAAACTCGATGTTATTTTGTTAACTGTTAATTTGACAGTGCACCATTCGAAGTGTGCAACATCAGCGTACTAATATCTGCTTATGACAATTTATTTGTGTAAAAGTACGCTGTCAACTACACTTTCGTTTTTGACAAGTACATTTTCCTCATACCGGATGTTGACTTGACAATGGTAAAACACGGACCAGAGACGGATATGTAAAATCCGTGTACGTTTACAAAGCACGATTGAGTTATTAAAGTAGATCAAAGTAGCTCTTTCTGCTTTATTTCTACAGGAAAATACTCGAAATGAACTTTAGATAAAGGTATCAGTGATATTTTTAGTATTTTTGAAAATTCAGATGCATTATTAAATCTCGCACCTGCGCACATGTGTACTAGTTTAAACAACGTGGTTCTGATGATTTTTCACTTAAAACCTCTACTACTTCATTTTTAAATTTTTCATCAAATCATATTTATATACGTTTTCTGGTAATCTGAAACTTGTTGACTAAATTATTTAGATGCAAACCGCTGAAATTTAAGAAAATAACTTTCAACAGACTGATCAATCAATGTCCGGTACAAAATATTTTACCTGTCGCCTGAACAGGTAAAGTCAGCTGTCAGAGAACTAATTAGCCTTGAAATCAGTGAATGATTTATGGCTTCAATATTATTTATTGAAGGGATAATTGTTTGACAGCCTGTTGTTATTTAAATAAAAGAAAACATATTTTTCTACTTTTTATTGATGTACACAAGCTAAAGACCAAGCCGTACATTGATTTATGTACCCAGAGGATTAGATTAACTGAGACACTTCAAAGTATTTGAAATATGCTGCATCTGTTTAATTAAACCCAAATATGACCGAAATATCTTTGTGTAATAGATTGCCACAATTATAAACTATAATGCCCAAACGGACATTTTTACTGATCGATAGTTGGTAAAAAATTGAAATGACCGTTTTATGAAAATGCCTTGAATACCAAAATGAGGCAAACCTATGCTATTTGAACGTCTGAGGCTTAGTGCAGCCGGACTTTTTATAAAAGTTTCAGTCAAGTCCAGAATATATGACCGTTTTGGAAGCCTTGATTTACACCAACAATTACATTTGGATATTTTTCACTTTTTAAAATTGAGTACCAGCTGATTCTGAGGAGTACACAGAGTAGTTCTAATATGTACTGTCTTATTCATTTAATTGGGATTCCTTGAAGGGAATGATCTTTTAAACACTGGACTGGTCAGGTTATTATGATACAAACTGTTTGCCCCTCCCAATCAAAACTTATATGGTATGTGTTTTCCTCATGGTTGATGTCTGTCCAATAAGCTGTCATTAATTACACCCTTGTCCTTTGGTGGATATTGTCACATTTGCAATCAAACCACATCTCCTTATATTCATCATGTTTATATTTATATAAAGTATTAAAAGTGCAACTGTTGAAAAATACATTAAATTTCATCAAAGTCCATAGCTTTATCACAATGCAAAATTCTCAGGATGCAAACAATGCCAAAATTCAAATTCAAATGCTTTAGTTTTGTATAAACTGACTATATTTTACATTCATATTTTTTTCAAGTTTCATCCTGTTTCAAAAGTTTTTTTATTTGTGTCGTTGACAACTTCATTGCAGGTTAAGAAGTCATCATGTGTTTAAAAGGTAAATAAATTCTGATTTCCTGCCTATGGGTCTATCAATATCCCATTAGAGTAAACCAGTAGAGTCAGACATTTTTTTTAATGATAAATTTAGATGATTGAAGGTTGATTTTAAGGACTGATCCTGTAACCAGTTACGTCCAAAGAAGTAATATTTTCAAAATTTCAATACCAGTAGAAAATTAGGTATTTATTGTAGAATTTTTTTTTTTAATTGGTGACCTAAAAAACCAGGACAGTTTCCATAATATATGTTCTACTTTCCTTCTAGGACTTAAACATTAACATTGTAAAAGACCCAGTTTCCTGTTTTTTGAGAATGGTTGAGTAATTTAATTATCTCAACTTGTCATAATTTTTATTTCTAAAAAAGATGTCTATCTTATTGGTTGTGGAAACAAAACAAGCTGCTGATCCCCAGCTGATCATACTTCGTGCATTTACGTTCAATGATTCGAAAGCTGTTCTGTACTTTTAAACAAGAATAGTAGGTAATCTACCATATATTTCCACCACTAAACCGACCAAATAGTATAACTGCAGTGTTCTCCCCAGGCCCTTAATGCACCTCTGACCCGCGGTCCTACAATTTCTGAGCGTGGTCGTATCAGTCCTCATACGGTCCTATATTTCTCTTCCTTGGTGCTATAATTTTCAGTATAAAATCGTTAATTTGGTAAAATTGTGACCAGTTGAGTCTTATCTGTGTGGTATAAAATTACAGGTGAATTGATAGTTACAACAGGTGATTGATTTAGCTGATGAGGGTTACCTGTTGCTGATTGGATTTAATCAATCAATTAGCACTTGTAACTTGTTTTTTTTGTGTTTTAATTAATATGGAGATAATTTATGACTTCAATCAACAATTTTATGGCTTCACCCGCCACCCAAGCCTAGACCACTCCAGTGATGTAATCAGAAATTTTAATTTGGAAACTAACTGCCGATAGTTGTACACATGCCGAAAAATTGTTTATACTTGATAAAAGATTAACTGTTGGTCCATTAAATAATAATAATTGGCAATCATGCATATTTTTATTATGTATGAGCAATTTGTCCAAGCTTGCATCATATATTCTGTCTCTTTTAATGAGTCTTCCTTCTCTTTTACAACAAATAAACTTTCTTTTTTGACCGCCGGTTTACTTCCAGTTTGGCAGTTGATTTAATGAGTTATATACACCAGCCACCAATTAATCTGGACCCTATTGAAAAGATTCTGTCATTTCACCCAAAGGTATGTATGATGAGTATTTTTTAAAAAGCGAAAACAACCTTTTCATAATAAATCCATAAAGAGTTACTTCCCCTATTTTTGGCTATTCTAAAATTTTCATGTTAAAAATATGTTTACCCATAGGAATATTCATAAGTAAACATATAATTGCTAGCTATTAAAACGGAATGTAATTTAATAAAAATTAAAATTCTGTATAGATATAGAAATAAAGAGCTGTGCCATGAGCGCATGATACGCCTGTCGCTTTTTCAAAGAATAAAGTACCATAACTCCTCAATGTCATACAGGAGATTTATAAAAAAATAAAGGGAGGTTATTTTAATAGATATAAACCAGTCACCAAAATTTCATGAAAACTGCTCAAAGCATTTTTGAGTTATTGTCTGACATGTCGAGGATGAACGGACGGACAGACAGACAACGGTATGCCATAATACGTCCCGTAAACGGGCGTATAAAAATACATTGTAAATGGGAGGTAATATCTCCAATACTCCCAATGAAATCAAACCAGTATTATATAGACATTGTACCACCCATACCAGGTGTTAAGGTTGTTAATAACCCCTATCAGCAACCAAGTTTTATCAGCCAGTGAAGGTGATTCAAAATCATCATAGTATTACAAATACATGTATTATTAATAAATCACATTTTACTTCATGCTAATGACTGTCAGAAAGGAAAATATAATTTCTTTCACTGTAATAATGTCAACAAAACACAGTACAAAAGAAAAGGAAAACTCAAATGAATAAAAGGTAATACAAAAAAGGGAGAACACTATGGGAACCAAACTTAAGGACGATAGAGGAAAAGAGTTGCGACGTGATGCAAATTATGTTTGATGCATATATCTAATTTGTCGACTTGATTATCCTAGTGCTATCTAAAAATCCTGCGGAGAACACTGAACTGATCCGTTCGTATTTAATGCCTATAAATGATAATATAACAAATCAGTTGCCTGATTACGTAACATCCTCATGACACAAATGATCCTAAAATGATAACAATCGCTTGATTCCCCGTTTAAATTGTTTTGAAATTAAAATTCAAGGCGGTACAAGTTCGCTGTTGTATAAATTTTATTTGATCAACAGTATTATTTTTTGGGTTACTTCTAATTTCTTGATTTACCTTGTCAATCGTCATTTTTGTTTACCTGTGGGACTTGTAAATCACAAGTTGTCTCCCTTTTACCTATTTAGATGTCTACATGACTTTGCTATGAAGTTAGTCAGCTGTAGATATTAGTGATTTTTAGATTTTTTTAGCAACTTAAATCAATATTTTCCCGGCAAAAATATGCCCTGCTCAAACAGCTAAAATTTAATTTTGGAAATGAAGGGCAGTTCTATGAAATTCATTATCATGGATGCATGGTTTTTGAAATCAGTCAAATATACATGTCAAAGATGTACATACATGTTAATGTATATGGTGTAACAAAACCCTGTAAATATTTGTCTCACTGACCATGTATCTTCCTCTTTTCATTTCATCCAAAACTTTGTCGATTTTGAATCCACCAAAACTGTCAAACTTGTACTGCACTAGCTGTGCACTGTATTGCTGGAAATAAAAATCAAATACTGAACTTTTTATACATTTTAGAGAAGTTAAACTAGAGGCTCTAAAGAGCCTCTGTCACTCACCTTGGTCTATGTGCATTTCAACAAAGGACACTCTCCAACATTGTAGATGAAAATACAATTCATTACAAAAATATGTTTTAATGATCTTGTATTGCTGATCATTTAGTCTGTTTAGTTTCTCTCCATCTTCAGTTTTTGCTCAAAACACAAAAGAGGGTAAAAAAAAATCCTCATTTAAGGGCAATCACTCCTATAAAGAGTGACAGTCTACTAACTTTATCAGCAAAATTAGACGTGTTAGTAGATCTTGCCTGACTGATCATATCTGTAATTTAAAGTGTCTATTTATCTATCATAACTTTTATCATGCAAGGCAAAAATGCCAAAAATAGTAAAAATCTTCATTAAAGGGCAATAACTCCAATAAGGAGTCGACTGATGATTTTGACCATGAAGACTAACATTTTTATGTATTTGTAGAACTTGTCTTGCTGATCAATTTTGCTCATTTAAGTTTCTATCTATCTATTATAATTTTTATGATACAAGGCAAAAACGCAAAAAATTGGTAAAAATCGTCATCAAAGGGCAATAACTCTAATAAGGAGAAGATTTTTGTACAAGTTAACAGATGACAACAGTGAGCCAGGTGAGCTAAAAATCTACTATCTTCATTTCAAGTATTACAAATTATAGATTATCCTTTAAGTTTTTACCCAAAGTAGACAAAAAATATCATTTCAATTGTATAAAATATGGCAAGATAAATTGGTTTAATAAATTATCATATCAGTTTTATAAATATCAATATGGTTCAGCATGCATGTTCTTGTCTTAAAGTCATGTTGGCCTTGCATATAGTGATTACCAGAGTGCTTATTTTAACCCATGACACTAATAAATCATCTTGAAAATGTTTATAAATACCAAGCATTTGTGGTGTGCTGCAATCTTCTTTCCTTTTACATTCTGAACATGAAGTTTACCACATATATCTTCTACCTCTGGCCCTCTGTGGCAAAATCCACAGGCTGTTTTCTCCATCTGAAATGAAATGATCAGAAGTGAATATATGGAAAATACTGATTTCATCACTTTAAAATTTAAAAGAAAATACAGTACATAAATTAAGGGTCATTTAAGTAAAATATATATTGAGGGAAGGCGTTGAGCAACACAATAGTTTTATACCATCCAATCCATAATCTATTTCTATCTTAAGACAAACACTTATTTCTATATATTTCTATTTTTCAAGGGTACAATTCAGTTAATAATCGAACTATATATAAATGGACATTCAAACTTGATCTGATTCTCATAAATTGTACAAATACAGATAATCTAGGGTTACAAAGCTTTCCTTGTTCACCAAATAGTCTCTAGTGTACACTTTATCATGTTAATAAAAGAGTGCAAATGCTGGAATGTCTCACCTGCTTTACTAACTTTGATTGATTTTATGTTGATAGTCCTAAAGAAAAGTTTTGCTACAAGTATATTACATAAATTTAACATTATCAATCAATGAAAATGAGGACAAGGTTAGATATATCAAACTAGACAGACATGTTCACCTTCCAATCATTCCATTCCCAAATATCATGAATATAGTCAACCTATTGCATTTAGTATACAAGAAACAGACCAAACCACAGTGATCTCCCCAGGCCGATTTAGCGTTGAGGCACTGCAACGCTATAATTTTTTCTCATGACGCTATAATAATTTCTGCGACGCTATAATTATTTTGAGGATGCTATTTTTTCTTGTCTCTATACCGCAAAATGATTTCCAAATTTATGAACTTTTATCTAATTACCGCTTGTGATCATAAAAATTATATCACCTTTAATTGTAATCCCTTCAAGTCGGCCAATAGAGGCAATTAAGAGTGATTAAATAGGTGTTAATTGCCCTTTGGGTGATAACTGTTTGGATACAAAGATGATGGAAGTGTTTAAGACCTTGACTGGCTATACAGCCCTAGCACGGTCGGTCGGATACAAATACACCAAGCTGACACTTATGACATGACTAGTAACATGTGGTCCAATCGCAAATTTTTACTTCGAGAAAATGTAATCAGAAAATCATAAACCATTTGAAATCTACGTTTGCATCATGGCATAACCGTCTTCTAAGAGAAAAAAAATAACTATGTGTGGTACGTTGATGTTGACAAACTGGCTGACCATTCGAACCAAGTTGTACAATTAGGCAATTGTTTTCATGTCGATTAAACAGCAATTTTTCATTTAAAAGTAAAGAAATTCAAAGATATAAACGATTTATTTCTTTAGAAAAGAGGTCTGGTTGTATGTTATTTCAAACCAACAACCTTTAAAGAAGTATTTTCTTTCCCTTCCGGTACTTGTTACTCGAGAGTGTATATTAAATATTTTGATTTTCGGCAAAATAAGTTTGATACTTCATTAGAAAGTGATCAAAATTGCCTTTAATGTTTCATCCATTTTTTTTTGCATTAAAAGCGTCATATTCAGTTCTTATCGCTTGTTAAACATTGTTTATTTTCGTTACTTTTTCTGCGACCGCCATTGAATTATTTGTATAAACTACGGATCAGATGCGGGATTCATCGGAAGCGGACCAGCTATGACCAAAATCTGCATTTTTACGATAATAACTACAGATGCACAAATGGCACAGCTGACAGAATAATAATGATCCCAAAAGAGAAAAATATGCATTCCACACGCATTAACAGACTATTTGTTAGATCTCTTTGCTAAATGTATTCATTTTGTAAATGCATTGTTTCAATATACTGATTAAAGTAGCTTAACTTTGTTAAAAATATGTATCATAATTCATTTTGATAAGAAACAACTGGGACTAATACATTGAGTCCCAGGAAACACTAAATTTCATAGACATGATAAACAGTATAGTTTTTTAATTGAAATTTTATTGCTATATACTTTCTCTTCCTTTTTGATATAAAAAACAGTCCTTTTATGTATTAGATATTTAGTTGGTAGTTTCTGACAAGAGGAAAAATATAATTCTGTAACTATAAATGAATATAGAAGACATAAACTGAAACAACTGCTATACTTTAATTGTATTCTCAGTTATGAATTGAACAATATAAATAAACATAACTTAAAGGAAATAGAGCATCACCCCAACGCCACAAACAACATTGAAAATAAATACAGTTTATTTTTTACGCCAAATGTGATGCTATCCAAAATTTCTGGGGAGAACACTGAACCATGAAAACTTAATATTGACTAATGAACATGAAAATGAGGTCAAGATCAAATGAACCCCGACAGATAGACATGTGCACCTTACAATCATTCAATACACTAAATATAGTTGACCTACATGTGTACATGTATTGCTTAGTCAAGTCTTGGAAGATACCTAACTACTGAAACTTTAAATTGACCAATGAACCATAAAAATGAGTTGAAGAATAGATGATACCTGCCAGACAGATATGCACAACTTACAATCATTCCATACACCAAATATAGATGATCCATTGCTTATAGCATGTATAGTATATATTAAAAAGGCAGACCAAAACACAACAACTTAACATTGACAAATGAACCATGAACTTGAGCTCAAAGTCAGATGACAGACTGACATGTGCACATTATAATCATTCAATACATCAAATATAGTTGACCTACTACAGTCTACTTACAGTATCGGAGAAACAGACCTAATCATGTTACTTTAACCTTAATAACTATGAAATGAGGTTGAGGTCAGGTGAACTCTGTCTGACAGACATGTACATGTACAATGTAAACCTTGCATTTCATAAGGCCAATAATAAAATTAAAATTGTTTAGTCAGTTGGTGTTGCCTACCTACCCACCTAAAAAGCAGCCTACCAGAAAAATTTTATGACACAAATTGTTTCTTTTTGGTGCTCTAACAACTTTTTCAAGTCTCAAACATGTAACTCATGTTGTTGGCTACAAACTTAAAAAAATCCTCACCTACCTACCCAACCCTACAAGCCATGGGTAGGCAACATCAAACAAAGCATTTGTTAAAGGTGGCCTAATGCAAGGTACCTATATACCAAATAAAGTTATTGCTATCAGTAATTATGTCTGCTTATATGTAGATCTTATTTTGGAGCATTTCATGTAGGGGTTGTACTGATGATCGTTTTTACTCTTTCAAAATTATGTCAATGGAAAACTATCTGTAGGTAGTTTTCCATTGACACAATTTGAGTTGGAGTTATTTCCCCATGGTGGCCATGTTGTAGGGCAAAGGGATTAATTTTCTTATTTGACAAACTAAGATTGAACAAATGGTACAAGCAAGTCTGATTAAAGATCCATACTAGATCATAGTGATGAAATAATCAAGGGTAAAACAAATAAAAATAGATATGAAAACAACTTTTTTCTAAATTCTAAAGGTCAAAAACAGGTCAATATTACTAGTTGAAATTGATTGAATTATGAAGGAACATGTGTACATTGACCTACAACATGGCAACAAAGGGAAACATCACAGATTTTTCTAGCATTCCACAGGGTCCCATTCAGGCCCATTCCCAATAGCAACAACCCTACATTTTACCAATTTTAGGAGGAAAAATTCCCAAAAGATCTCAAAATTCATTTTCATTTACAATGTATATTATCCATGACAGTCATGTTCATTTTGTTCAACCGTTAGCTTTATGCCGAAAATCGCCAACAAGTAATGTGTAAAACCGAGTAAATAGATATCTGACTGACAAAAACAACCGACAAAATTAATGGCCGCCATAAACCTGAAGTGTAGACAATTACAATACCAGATCAGATTCTGGGGGTGGATAAGGCGGATTCAAGGTTTGCCAATCAACAATGATCAAATACAATAAGTAAATAAAAAAAAAAATCCAGGCAGGTAACGAAATACAACCATAAAATATAAACACTAGAATTGAAAACCAAAAGATACAATGTATGAAAAAGAAAGAAGAAACAGGAAATATCTTATACATGTACAGAAACTAAAATTTATTTTTAGTTCACAAATTTTCATGTCAAAATCCAATTAAATGTGACATTACTTTTCTTTATCACTAAAAAATGTTGATACTGGATGTTTTTAGAATGTAAACATATAACTACAGATCCAACAGGTAATTTCTTCTCAATTTTGAAGGGCCAGTAAAAATCTGGAAGAGCAAGTGAATTAAGAAAAGTGTTAGCCAGCTTGGCCAGTTAAAATAAATCTTAATTCTATCCCTGAATTATTTATTATATTAACTGTTACTGTCTTTGAAGATAAAAAATTCTTAAGGGTTCTGCGGAACCCAGTGTCTCGCCTACTTTTGCTGTTAACCAGGCTCAACATAAATGAGGAAAAAAATCAATAAAAATATTCCTTTAGATACTATCTTTTGATTGTAAGAAGCTTCTGTCAGAGTTTGGTATAAATCCAGGATGGTTTATGAATCTAATAAATGTTTTAAAAACTTTAACTGCAGACTGTATTTAATGTTAACTGGAAGAAAAACTAAGTCCATTTATAAGTAAAATACGGATAAACAGGTACAAATTTTAACAAAATTTCCTTCTAGATACTAGCTTTTGATCATAAACAAGCTTCTGTCCAAATTTGGTACAAATCCAGGATAGTTTAAGAAAGTTATTAAAATTTTAAAAACTTTAACCACAGAGTTAATGTAGTTTCCTGGCAGAAAAACTAAGTCCATTTATAAGTAAAATATGGAAAAAATGAATTTTTTTTTTTAACAAATTTACTTCTGGATACTATCTTATGATCATAAACAAGCTTCTGTCCAAGTTTGGTAGAAATCCAGGATAGTTTAAGAAAGTTATTAAAATTTTAAAAACTTTAACCACAGAGTGAATGTATTATTTCCTGGCAGAAAAACTAAGTCCATTTATCATGTTTATAAGTAAAATACGTAAAAACAGGATTTTTATTTTACAAAATTTACTTCTGGATACTATTTTATGATCATATATACAAGCTACTGTCAAAGTTTGGTACAAATCCAGGATAGTTTAAGAAAGTTATTAAAA